TTCCGGATATTATGGAGTTCAAAATATTGCTCAATCTCCATTTACACAAGCAACCACTGAAGCTATGTACGTAATAACATCTGATAATAGGCCATCATATTCTAGTTATTATAAACCCACGCCTAATTATCCTCCATACAAAACACCAGACGAAAAAACTGACTTATCTCTAACAGGAGAAGGAGCTACATCAATAAATGATTTCATTAATTTCCCTCCAGTACGAAATCCAAATCTAAATATGTCAGCAACTTCAAGTGCAGTTACAAGTGATCTTGAACTTTCCACACCAGCTTTCGTTGAAGATGGAGTACTTAAAGACAAAATGAACACTTTAGTACATAAAATAGTGGAATCACTTCAGGGTAATTTTGATGCATTGGCTGATTTAATAGATGAAACACCAGGAAACTCAGTTCCAATTTCCACATATCAAGCAGACACAATACATTCTTCTGTTGGCACCACGACATATACACGTAAACCGACAAAACAACCAACCCGCGTAACAACAGTTAAGACGAAAGTAACTAAGTCAACGACAAAGAAACCAGTCACACGACTGTCAACAAAAGCTCCAAATAAGAAAACTACAGTTTCCACAAGGAAACCAGTAACTAGACGTACAACAACACGCAAGCCAAGCACAGGTAAACCAACTAAAAAATACACCACAACATTAGCACCCGCGCAAGATGAACTAGTAGATGAAGAAGATGAAGAGGACATTAATCCAAATGAAAATGAAATTGATCAAAATGAAAGCGTTAGTTCTTCCGGAAGTGGTGGACGTAAAATTCGTAAGTTTTAAATAATAATATATTCCTTTCAATTACCATGCATAGATCCGAAACAACTGTTTCTTTTCTTCTTAATTTATCACTCACAAACACTTTAACATCATTTTGAATCCAAAAATCCAAAAATCCTCTTTCCTAAACCGATAAAATTAACAAACTAAAATATCTGTAACCCAATGCATAACAAAATTTCATAGTGCGTCGCATCAACGAAATCACACACAACTTTTAACCAATATCCATTTTTTCCTTTTAAACGCTCCTTTCAATTCTTCAATTTCTATTGAATAAAAACCTTATTAACCCTTCAATACACATCTATGCTGTTACTATGCTCTCCCTTCTCCTAACCTCACATTTCAATCCCCATCAACAGAATGCGGCGTTCGACCACATGTAAAATCAGGCAGAATCGTTGGCGGCAAAGGTGCTTCATTTGGAGCTTATCCATGGCAAGTTCTTGTGCGCGAATCTACATGGCTGGGGCTATTTACGAAAAATAAATGTGGCGGTGTTCTTATATCAAATCGATATGTTATAACTGCAGCACATTGTCAACCAGGGTAAGTAACCTAATTATTTATCTAAAAATTATCAACATAAATTAATATTGCACACACTTTTTTCCTTTTCTACCTCTTGTCATCATACACGACAGCTTCCTTGCTTCTCTAGTAGCCGTCATGGGTGAATTTGATATATCTGGCGACTTAGAAAGTAAACGAGCAGTGACGAAAAATGTGAAACGAGTGATTGTCCACAGGCAGTATGATCCAGCAACATTTGAAAATGATTTGGCGTTATTGGAACTAGAAAGTGCAGTACAATTTGATACTCATATAGGTATATATAATATAAATATTTTATATTGTAGTTTTTTACACAACACTACAAGTAAATATACGAGAATACATAAGAAAATCGCTTAAAGAACACACATCTATTCACTTGGTTGGACAATTTTTCTAAACCCAATCATTTTCTCTAATGATTATTTGCAGCAACTTGAGGGCTCACTTAAGGGCTATATTAAATGCTATATTTGAGATCGTATGAAATGTGGGTACCAATTTTTTATGCTGTAGAACTGTTAGCAAGTTAATTGTACGAAAACTAGACACAGTTTTTTAGCTACAAATTAAATTAAAGAAAGAAATAAATAATTAAAGAAATAATTAAAGAAATAATTGGGGAATATTCTAACTTTAGTAGTTATACAAACAGAGTTTCGTTGGAATTGAATACCTTAAGTGCAGAAGTGACATCAAATATTTGCAAATGAAAACTTGTCTATGAGATTTTTCTGAGGTCTTCAAATTATTATTATTGTTTTGTACTTGGAGAACTCAAGTAACAATTTATTTTATTAATGGAATATTAATATATAATTAAGAAATAATTTAAATGTGTATATACATATTTATAATAGTAATAATACAAAAAAATAGTAGTAGATATTGCCAATAAGGTCATCTAATGGCTTCACCGGCACAGAATCTAATGCACAAAATTAAATGCAGTATTACTGATTCTAAAATAGCATTCTTCAATATATCAGTGGATGGTTTTCACGTTCACAATATGAATTGGTTTTATTATTATTGGAAAATACATATTTCAGCTAATGATCGGTTAACAAGCAACTTTTGATCATTATTTGCTAGATAAAATCTTCGGTCAGGATGTGTTAATTATGTTTTTCTAATGCTTGATTTAAATTTCTTGAATTTCAATAAAAGTCTTGTCTGATAGTCTTGCTTGATTATTACAACCACAGCCAAGATATAATTAGTGGTCATGAATTTCAGTTAAGCAATATGCTGTTTATCATATATATCATCATACCAGTTCTCATGACATCTATACTACTTATGAATACATTATGAAAAATCTTCTTGCCAATGCATTAAAAAAATTTTTATAATTTTAGTTCCCATTTGTATGCCATCAGACCAAGCTGACTTTACCGGACGTATGGCTACTGTTACCGGTTGGGGACGATTAAAATATGGAGGTGGTGTACCATCTGTTCTTCAAGAAGTTCAGGTTAATACATATTCTGTAGTTCATTTCTCAGTTATTTCATTTATTTTTTAATTAATACATAGGTTCCAATTATTGAAAATAGCGTTTGCCAAGAGATGTTCCATACCGCCGGTCATAACAAGAAAATTTTAAGTTCATTTTTGTGTGCTGGATATGCTAATGGACAAAAAGACTCGTGTGAGGTAGGATATAAATTCTTAATTAAAATTAACTTTATTAGTTATCAAAAATAAGATTTTTGAAAAGAAAATAAAAAATTAAAAATTTTATTTATAAATTAAATTTATAGGGTGATAGTGGCGGACCGCTAGTTTTGCAACGCCAGGACGGTCGCTACGAATTGGCAGGCACTGTTTCGCATGGAATAAAATGTGCGGCGCCATATCTACCCGGAGTGTACATGCGCACCACATTTTATAAGCCATGGTTAAGAAGCATAACTGGTGTAAAATAAATTTAATTAATCCAGTATTCTTACTTCATGATTGCCCAACACCAATGTATATTTTTGAAATTTGAAATTTGTGGAAGCTTTTTGCAGTCATATTGCCTAAATAAGCACCATTTTTTAACCTACCAGTACCAGTCGTGCCAACAACGCCTTTCTTAATTAATAAATTTAGTTTTATTTTACTTCTTTCTATATTTCTATATAAACTATTTAAAATCGCTTTACAAATCGTTTCTCTGAAGATTTACTTATATATATTTACGTATATATATGAATGGCACAATTTTAATTTAGTATAAATTATTGCGAAAAGTACTTAGTCTGAATTTGAAATTGTACGATTATTTAATAACTTAAGTTATTTATTTATTTTATACTAGGAATTTTTAGGCTTAAAAATATTTATATAATTATGTATTTATTTTATATCATATGTACAATTCGAAATGACGAGATTGATTAATATTTTTGTCATTCGCTCATTACCTTGTGAATTTATTTGCATTTCGAAGCATTAACAATGCATACTATATGTCATTATTATTATTTATTTATTTATTTATTTATTTATATTAGATAACAATTTTAGAATAATGTAGAAAAATTTACAAGTGTAACGAATTCTTAGTTTACTTAAAAATTGTTGAAAGAGTAAGTGAATTTATTTTAAGCACAATTCCAATAATTTATTTAAATATAAAAAAATATATGATTAAGTAAAAATTCAATAAAAAATCAATTAATTATTCTTTATTTGTATTCTTTATCCTTATAGGGAAGAACCCTGTTACATCTACCATAATTTGAGACTTACTTGCAATTTGCCACATAAATATTTCTGCTTCACTTTTGCGTTTTCACTTTAAAAATAATATCTCAATTAATTAAATATTGCGAATTTTTCATACTTCTTCTTGTTTTTTATTTTCATTATGTCCTCGAATAAAGGGCTCTTGATTTTCATTAGATGCTTTGCATTAAATATTATATGTATTTATCCGTTATAAAAACGGATATTATTCCGTTTTTATTAACCGTGCAATATTCTGAGGGAGAGTGAGACAGAGAGACCGTAGTTTTAATTTTTCCCTTAACCCTAGGAATTATTTTCTAGTACAACCTAGTAGAATGGCTAGCGACTGAAATGAAGTGTATCGTTCTACACAAGTTGTGTTAGATGTAAAATTTGTTTGTAGTTTTTTAGATGTGATTAAAACTAACATTTTTTGGTACGGTGATATAGATCCATTCAACCGTTTAAAAAGCAATTTTACACAGCACCAAATAAAGTCATTTCTAAAATATTTTAACTCGCTTAATCTGAAAAATCTGATTACCATAAAACCTGTCTACCCATTCAGATATTGCCAAATAATGCTTTATTTTGTTTCTCAGCCGTGTCACTCGACAATAAGCTGCTTAACACAAAACTGCACTAAAACCTATATGAAATTATGGAGCCCAATTATGGGGTACTGCAGCAGACAAACCTGGGAATTATTCAACGTTTTCAATCAACAACACTACGAATAATCACAAATGCACCTTGGTATATAACGAATGAATTGGTGTATAACGAAGAATAATGCTCATCGCATATATATGCTGGTGACACACCTGATATCCCCTCCAACACTTTTACAAGGCTGAGAACAAAAACGTCGAGAGGCGTTTTACATATGTATATATAGATCACACATTTTTATTGTAAGTATAAATTATTTTATTACCAATTATCAATTATTTATTTCTTTATTAAATATATGTTTTACACTACAGAGCCAAAATTGAACTGAACTCTTTCATATGTGAGGGAGCTTTTTACAACACTCTCACCTGAGAGCTTTTAAACATAATTCATCGGATATTTTTATTTAAACATAGAAGTGTGGCTGATTACGTGTTAACTCCTCCCTCGCTAAGTAAGAGTCGTCCTCGGTCTCTTTTTGCGTTGAATACAATAAGTTAGCAATTATTGGAATATTTAACAAAATATATAAAACAAAAATATGTTATTATTAAAAAATATAACAATAGTTAGATAACAATATATTAAATATAACAATAGTTAAATATAAACAATAGTTTAACAATAGTTAAAATCATACAATTGTGTAATAGAGAACACTCTTAGAACATTAGTATTGTGAATGCATCAGCTCGCTTCGCCCTTGCAAACCACTACAGAATATTATCTAAGGTTGTCCTTATGGACCACCCTTCCCTTTATGAGGACAGATGATCCTAGGTCTGCTTCCACCTTTCCTTCGACGCACAATGGAGTTATTTTGTTTCCCAGTCTTCTATTTGTTTTGACGAAAACTGTTTCGCCCACTTGAAAGGTTCTATTCTGCCTCGCTTTATTATGCTGTTTTAGCTGGTTTTCTTGGGCTTCTCTAATTTTGCTCTCTATTTCCTGTTGTAGTTCAGGTGTAGCTGAATGAAGAATATCTATGGGTTTCTTTTTGGTTGTGGTGTGAATTGACCCATTGTATGCTATGGTTGCCTGTATAATAAGTTCGACTGTGTCGTCAATTTTCCTATCTATTTTCAGACACCTAGCAATTTCTATTAATGTGCCGTGTAGCCTTTCTACCTGGCCGTTAGACGTACTGTGTAAGGGAGGAGCGTTAGCTAACGTCACATTAAAGGTATTTGTCAATGTAGACCTGATGGTTTCCGAATTTAGTGACTTTTCATTGTCACAAAAAATTGTTTTTGTTTTTGGAAAGATATTCATCAATTGTAAAATTGGAATTTTCACATCCACAATTGTTCGTGAAGCAATGGGTTGCACTATAGCAAACTTCGAAAACTTATCTATACATGTGAGAAAATATTTTCCATCTGTGGAAAATATATCTACATGAAAAATTTGACCAACATATGATGGAATCGGGGTTTCGCCGATTAGTTGTTTTTTTTTATGTCTGTTGTATTTACCCTTTGAGCAGGTTTTGCAATTTGCAACGATTTCGTTGGCCAATTTTGTCATTTTTGGGAAAAAATATTCGCGCAAGATCTGCTTAACATTTTCCTGTGCGGCCCTGTGCGCCCTATTGTGTTCTATTGTTACTATGTCCCGTTGATCGTTTTTATCGTATATGTCCATGACGAAATGCTTGGAGTACCAAAATTTTGTAGACGGAAACGCCTTGACGAGCTCATTCTGGATACAAGCAATAATTGGTAGCTCACAGTAAATTGCATTTACTACGTCAAGTTTTATTGCTTCTCTAACACTCTCCAATAGTTCTTCTTCATTGAAAAAATTGATCAAGTGTCTAGTTTTTTCGCGGAAGATTATAAAAGTACGAGTCGATGTCGCATTTGCTCGTTCAATGACGATTTGGTTTCTGAAACAATTCACTGGCTTATCAGTCGCTTCAATTGCATAAGACATTGATAATTCGCTGTGGATGGTGGCTGCGTCAGAACTAGGCATATTTTCAAGCGCATGAATGTTCTGCCGTGATAGCGCATCGGCTACGTAGTTTTCTTTTCCTGGCTTATAAAGAATTTGTGCATTATGTTCATCTATGAACGCTTTCCACCGCTTAATTTTCGCGTTGGGGTTTCGGTCTGAAACCTCAAACGACAGAGGTTGATGATCAGTAAAAATATTTAAATTTTTAACACCATATAGATAATTTCTGAGATTCTTTAGAGCCCAAACAATTGCGAGTAATTCCCTTTCATTGGTAGCGAAATTCATTTCGTTGTCTTTCAAGGTCCTCGATATCATAGTTATCGGCTTCCCGCTTTGTGATAGTACAGCGCCTAATCCTAAAGATGACGCATCCGTTGTTAGGTCGAATGGTTTTCCATAATCTGGATGCTGGAGCAAGACGTCTTCCGACATCAAGATTTTCTTGAGCTTGTTGAAAGCTTGACGCTGACTGTTGTTTAGCTCTATTTGTTTTTTCTTCGATTGGTGAGTGCTAACTCTACCATTTTCGCCCTTAAAGATATCTGTAAGTGGCCTGGCTATTGAGGCGAAGTTTCTTATAAAGCATCTGTAATAGCTCGCTAAGCCCATAAATGACCTGACATTAAATAATGTCGTTGGCTCAGTATAGTTTCGAATTGCCTCTATTTTACTTGGGCTTGTTCGAATACCCTCTCCAGTTACCGTGAAACCTAAGTACTCAACGCTTTCCTTAAAGAAATGGGACTTCTCCCGTGAAATCCTCATATTGGCTTCGTTCAACTTCCTCAAGACCCACGCTATGTGTTTAATGTGATCTTCTTCTGTTTTTGAGAATACGATAACGTCGTCGACGTAAACGTGACATGTCTTTCCAATTTGGTCTCGAAGCACGTCATCAATAGCCCTTTGAAATACGCTGGGTGCGTTCTTCAAGCCAAATGGTAGCCTACAAAATTCGTATTTTCCGCTGTTGACCGAAAAAGCAGTTTTCTCACGATCTCTTTCTGCCAAAACTATTTGGTGAAAGCCAGATTTTAAATCGAGAGTTGTAAAATATTTTCCTTTTCCTAAGTTGGCGAGTATCACCATCACGTTAGGGATGGGATATTTATCGTCTATCGTTTTTTGATTTAATTTTCTGAAATCAATTACAAGACGTTTTTTTGTGTTGCCATGTTCATCAACTCCCTTTTTGTCAACAACCCATATTGGATTATTGTATGGCGATCTAGATGGTCTAATTATACCATTTCTTAGCAAGTCACGCACTTCTTTATTCACAAAATCTGCTACGCCCATAGGATAAGGATATAGTTTCGAATAAATGGGGTCGTCACACTCAGTTCGAATGGTAGCTACAATATTTGTGTTGAACGGAAGTAATTCGTCAGGATCAGCAAATACCGTTTGTTCACTTTTTAATAATTTTTGAAATTTTTCGTTAACTTTTTCTGGAATTTTAATATCCTCAATTCGAGTGAAATTTACATTCGCACATTTTAAAAACTGGATCGGTTCTGATCCCGTATTATACTTCAAATTTTTATTTTTAAAATCTATTTTTGCATCGATTTGTGTTAACAAATCGAGGCCGATGATTCCATCAAATTTTGTAAGATCGGGTAATATAAAAAAGGTGCTATTAATATTAAACAGGTTCACGAAGCATTTATCTTTGATTTCATTAAAACCATGTATTGATTT